GAGAAGGGTTTAAATCCCTTTTTATTCAACTTTAGAAATTACAGATGCGTGCTCTTGACGCTCACAAACTACGCCGACCCGGCGGTAAAATAAAAATAAGAAACTAAAAAGAATAATAACAAGTGACTAACTACGAGGCTCTCTAAACGTAACTAACCTCACCGCGTTCTAAGATACCGCTGATAATTCAGCAAACTTCTGAATATTACGTTGAAAGATTTAACTATCTGCCGAGGCAAGCACACAGGCCGAAACGCGTGGTTCTTCAATTTCTAACTAGCCACCTCCACGCTCGTGAAGCAAGAAAGCACACTTTCGAACTCGTTTCCCTTCTATTTAACTCAGAATACTTCCGCTGACTATTTTGAATACTTTGCGCGTTCTACTAAAATTTACATACTCTGGCATTGGCAATTCCAGGGGAAAGTAAGGCTTGACAGGAAAGATAGTTTAAACTTAAAATAAATGTTAGTTAAAATAAATATAAACCCTACAATCTATAATCATCAGACTCACAAACACGCCTGTTAGATAAATGCAAGTAATAATAAATAATTAATAATAAGTATTTTGATAGCAAATAATTGTTCCTATTTTCATATACAAATTATTGACTAACAAAGTCTTTTTTTGCCTCGCAGCTAAGTACATCATTGCTTGTCTAAATAGGAAGAGAGAAAGGATTTTATTAAAAACAGAATATTCACTAAACGTGTAAGTTTAGCTGAAATTTATACATACATATTTCATCTCCGATACTGTTGCATTACAGCAATTTGAAATGTGTACGTGAGCACGTTTCCATATTTTTAATTGCATCGAGAGCCGTGCTACTTATTTGCTTCATGCCAGTTTTTGCTGATTACGAAATAGCTGTCATCTAATAATAGACACTCTCCTGTGTCTCACAGAGAACTGGGTAATTTATAATATTTTAATCTTTTAAGACTTTTGATGATAAAACTTTATTTATATTTTTATAAGAGAACTTTAGTCATATTTTAAGTTTTATTTGATTTTCTCTTGATTAATTGATGCACTGGTAGTTTTGGTAAGAGGGGTTATTACTTACTTCATTTTTTTAATTGGATTCTTCTGTTTTCACTCAATTCTGTTAATTTAATTCAATTTTCCCTTTTTTCCTTTAATGTAAAATGTCTTTAGTTTTGACTAATTCTGACGTTACATAAACTACAAACCATGATAAAAATTTTACATAATTTCGCTGGGGGTAAATTCAATAATTAAGAATTATTAACATTGAATTTTCAGACTTACAGTTGCCTGAAAACGCTTGACTTTTGACACGATAAATAAGGATGCAAAATTAAATAAGATTTAGAATATATGCACCATCACAATTTTTCCCATGTTGACATTTTCATGGAATATCGAATTCTAGTCCCCCCTTTTTTTTCTTTTTTTTAAACATCTGTTACCGCAATTACAAGACTAAACTGAAAATACTTAAATAGTAAAACATCTAGCTCGATGACAGCTATGGAGAAGTATAAAATACGGCACAAAAACATTTTGAAACTTAACGTATCTCCCCCCGGTTGAATTTTCAGGTTCAGGACCAAGGCATTTGGATTACGGAGTACATTTGCAATTAATTGCAATTACCTCCACGTCATCGTTCATAAAAATGAAATAAATAAGAGAGAAGCAGTCGCTAAAGTAGATGAAAGAGCAGATAAGCTGAAGTCAGGAGTCGCTTAACAAAGAGAAGGCAACCGGGACGCGAGGACCCTGGATGGTTGCCATGGGGACAAAACAGCTGATGGAGTGAGGCGCAGTTGAAGGAAAACCGGTCCCCGGTAAGGTAAGGTATTGAATCCAAGCGTATAGCTAAGAGCTTTGGGGTGGTCGGAGCGGGGACAAAAGGGGTCACTGACCGACGAAGGAGAAAGAGGCGAAAAGCGCGGTTGCGGAGTGTTCGAAGCTAAGTTAAATGGCGGATAACTGGAGCAAGCTATGAGCGGCGAAGAACCGTAGGGAGAATGAATACGAAGTAATGCGTGTTTCGCGAGTTTAATTTAATATTAAATCTGCAGTGCAGCTCAGTGTTTCAGTGTTCAGCTGTGTGTATGCAGTGAAAAGTATTTATTTAGGATAAGTAAATTAGCAATTTAAGTAATTAAATTAAATATTATTTAAAGTAAAAATTTGATGAAGTCTGGCAGATAAGGTCTTGGCAAGGGCAGGTATGAATATTAATAGTGCAGCACGGGGATGTATTCGCGAAAAACGAAGCCAGATTAGGTCTGGGGCGGTAAGATCAGTTAAGAGTAGCCGGGTTAGGCCCGTGAAGTACTTGTGAAATTTTCCAGATTAGTTTCCCCGGTCAAGCAGGCAAACCCTTTTAGGCTTCCTAGGGAAGTTGTTATAGGATCTGTCCATGACAGCCCTAGGTCGCTTGGCAGAGCTGGGTTCTGCCGGATTATAGGCAGGAATGGCATGCAAGACCGGGTTGCTAATCTGTTCAATTACGTTGAAAAATTTAGCCGAAATGTGCTTGAAATAAGCATCCTAGGGGAAGAATTTTGAGATCAAAATGTATTATTTCATTACGAATATACCAGTGAGCATTAGTAAGGATGCGAAGCGTGACGTTTTGAAAAACCTGGATCTTCTTAAGATGAGAGTTGGCTGCAGTTGGCCCAGATTGGAGCTGCATAGGTGAGAACAGGCATGATGGTACTTGAATATAGGGGAACTCCGGAGGGAGAGGTGTCTGGATCTTGAGTTGCATAAGTTGGGATCTGCATAAGTTGGGATCGAGTGCTCTTGGCTTTGGCTATTGTGTAGGAGATATGAACGCCCCAGATGAGCTTCGCATCCAAATAAACTCCAAGATATTTGTAGTAGTCCATCCAAGGTACATTTTCATTGTAGAGCTTGAGTGGCTGAAGTTGACTGTGAACATTCCTTTTTCTGGAGAAGAAGACTGTAGCAGCACTTTTTGCAACATTAATTTTGATCTTCCAGTCAACGAGCCAGGACTCTAAATCTGACAGGTATTGCTGGAGATGATGTAATGTATGGTGGAGAGTTGAATGTTGTGAAATAATGGCAGTGTCGTCTGCATAAAGTGCTAGATCGACAGTAGGTAATTGTGGGATGTCATTAACATACAGGTTGAATGAATAAATATGCACTAATTATTCCTCCCTGCGGGACACCGGCCAGGATAGGACGGGGGAAAGAGAGAGAATTTTTAACTTTGACACAAAATGTCTATTACTTAGATAAGAGTGCATTAGTCGCACAAAGTCAGCCGAAAAACCAAGCTTGTAAATAATGCTGATGTGCCAACACCTGTCGAATGCTTTAGCTACGTCTAAATAGACGATTGCTGTTAGGCATTCCATTGCGAGCACCCGCATGAATGATTTCCACTACTCTCAGTAGCTGGGCCTGAGTGGAGTGTTTAGCTCGAAAACCGAATTGTTGTGGATAATATATTTCGGTTTCGGCAGAAATCTTTCAGGTGTCTAAGCAATATAGTTTCGTAAAGTTTACTAATGAAGACAGGAGGCTGATCGGCCTGTAATTTTGAGGGACTTTTGGGTCCGAAGCAGGTTTTAGAATAGAATTGGAATGACACAAGCATTTTCCAGCTATCAGGATAAGTATTTTAGCCTTAGCATAGTGTTGAACAAAAATGCTAGGTAAAATATGAATTTAACAGGGAGGTTTTTAATCATGCGATTATTGATGTTATCCAGACCTGGTGCCTTTTTGGGGGTTAAATCACGTATAACATACGCTATTTCAGACATTGTTGTTTTTATGGGTTCTCCTGAGTCAGGAGCTGAGGAGAGAAAATTGTCAACCTGTATTTGGACTTCTCGCCCATGCGGAGTGCAGGTATCGAACAGAGGTCCAGTATTAGGTGAAAATTGTTCCTGTAGACTGTCTGCAAGGCGTTCAGCCTTGTCGGTGTCAGTGATTGCCATTCGGTCATTGACCGTGCCCATTAGGGGGGGAATGTCTGATTTTGGTTTGCGTAGCCGAGCGCTAGCTTCCCAAAGGCTATTATTAGTGGTCTTTAAGGACTTAAGATAGTTATTGAATTTATCATCAGAATACCTTTTGATGTCAGATTTAATCTCGTTCTGGAGTCTTCGTAGTTGGGTTCTGGTAGTTTCAACTCGGGTTCTTTGCCAATCTTTATGAAGACGGATTTTTAATTTTGATTTTTTTCTTTAATATTAGGCCTGGGAGTTTGGAATAAGTTTGGTCTAAATTTAGGGAAATGAGGCCGCATCAAATGCACTTTTAATTGTGCTAGTTAGTTGCTCGATAGAGTTATCAACATCATGATTATTGCTAATTTTGAGGGAGGGTAAATTTTTAGAATTCAAAATATGCCGGAAACTGCCCCAATTCGTGGAGACTTGCGCAGTTAGATTTTAATTAATTTTGATACAGTTTAGGGTGAGGTGAACCGGGTAGTGGTCGCTTGACAATTCCGGAATCACTTGTATCGAATGAGCTAACGGTATGTTTTTGAACAGAGCCAAATCAATAATGGATGGAGCACCTATGCCACCAGGGAACTGATAATGCGTAGGTACTCCTGGCGCAACAATTTGGATGTGGGCGCACTGAGCCCAATTTTTAAGCTTATCGCCATAGTTGTTGGCAGTGACGCAATCCCAACTTCTATGACGGGCATTAAAATCTCCTGCAATAATCATGTTATTTAAGACTCCGCTAAGTTTTTTTTTGAGATCAGGGAGAAAATTAGGTCCCTTTCTCGGAGGCATATAGCAGGACGCTACTGCTATAGGGGGTAAATTTTGAATATAAATTTGGACGATAAAGGCTTCAAGAGCCTCCATGCGCGGAGTTGTACTGTGTTTCACAGTGCGTTTTACATAAATAGCAGTGCCGCCACTAGCGCGAATAGCGTCACTGTTGCTAGCCGCTCTATCATTGCGGTAGCAGATAGAATTAGGAATATTGGCGCTACGTTCGTCGACCAGATGAGTTTACTGAACAAGGAAGAAGTCCACAGCATGCTCACTGATATAATCCCGTAATTCATGAGTTTTTGGAAGAACGCCGTTTGCATTCCAGAATCCGATGAGGAGGTCTTCTCTATTTGGGTCGTTGAATGTAGATCTTTAAGAGGTGAGAGCACAATAACTCTCAAATATAAAAAACGCTCTCTCAGGACCTGTAGAGGCAGTACGAAGATGAAGTAGAGCCTTCAGCTAGAAGTAGCCTCTGGTCTATGCCGAATTCCCGGGAGATTTGGAAAACACTCCTGAGAGTATCAGTACAGGAGTTGTCGTCGGGTACCGCAGGTTGGGCTAGAAACTGGGCAGGTGGCTTCTCCGGTGCAGGAACAGGCGCTGGAAATGGAGCAGATGTTGGTTGAGTAGTTTTACTAGCATTAACGGACGTTCTTCCGGGATTAGTATGCTCGTTCGCTACTATAGAAGAGAAAATAAGGGGGCCGTGCTGCTAAATGGAGTTGGAGCGGGAGGGGGTACAAAATTTTGTTTCCCGGCACCTTGGGATTTCGAAATGGGGTTAGAAGGTTCCCTCTGTTTCTTATTTTTATTAGAAGGATGTCCTGGGCAGTAATGCTAGTTGGCGGCATGTCCTCCAAGCAGTTGGCACATGTGTTGGGCTCGTCAAATGGCTTGGGGCAGTCCCGGGCAAAATGAGGTCCAGCACACCGCAGACATCGAACAGGAAGCGTGCATACGGCACTGGAGTGGAAGAAGCCCTGGCATCTTCAGCCAGGTTCAGGATGACTGCATAGAAAGCGAAGAACATTTGGAAATTGGAGGTCGATAAAGTACAGTTGATGTTTTTACTTCAATAACTCGAACGACTCTGCCTTTTCCGATAAAACCTTCTGTGAGTCTTTCAAGATTCCATTTTAACGAAGGAAGAGAATCCTCTTTGAGATACACTAATTCATTCACTTGGATATTTTTAAGTCCGCTTTTCCCGACGTTACGTATGATTCAGATATTCTTTTTGCCATGTTTTTGCCAAAACTGATTAAGAAGTTGCCGAATCGAATGCCGTCTTGACTTTAAGCAAAGATACTTTTTTGGAGCTTCCTCAGGAAAGGACATCACAGGTGCACCTATTAAAAATGTCCTGGGGTAAGAGGTTCTAAATCTTGAGGATATGAAGAAAGAGGAGTCAGTGACCTGGAATTAAGATAAGCTTCAATCTGTATTAGAGTGTTAAAGTCCTCAAAAATTGCTTACTGATAGATAGCTGACTTGCAGAATTTAAAGAAATATTGCTTCGCAGATTTGATTACAGGCTCCCACAATCCTCCGAAATGTGAGCTAAAGGTGGGATAAAATGTCATATTTTTGAGCAGCAACGTATTGAATTTTATGAAAATTCAGAAGCATTGGTTACTCTGTAGAGACATTAGGTTAATTGTAGAGGCAGAAAAGATGAAAAATAGCAAACGCCTTCGCCGGAAATCGAATCACGGACCTCTGGAATACCGGCCCAGTGTGCAGAACCGCTACATCACGAAGGCACTCTAGGAAAGTGGGAGACATACCTTATATACTCCCCTTTTTAAAGGGTGACTAGGGTTTTAGGGGACCTAGTCGTCAAATCTTGGGTGCGGAGAATCATCATCCACAACCCTTTTAGTTCGGGCGCCACTTATAGAGACATTAGGTTAATTGTAGAGGCAGAAAAGATGAAAAATAGCAAACGCCTTTGCCGGGAATCGAACCACGGACCTCTGGAATACCGGCCCAGTGTGCAGAACCGCTACACCACGAAGGCACTCTAGGAAACTAGGAGAAATACCTTGTAACTCTTTCATATAGGTTGCTGCTCCTCAAGAATTCGTTGCGTTATCTGAATACAAATTTTACTGGTTTTCCACGTCTGGAGATAAGCCGTCTTAAAGCCCCTAGAAAGGCATCTATTGATAAATCTTAACAACCTCGAGGTGAATTGTTTTAATGGCAAAGCAAATAAAAAGAGCAATTTAAGATTTAATTTTTACTCCACTGCGAATCAGATTAGGTTTTGTTATGAATAGTCCAACGTTAAGTAATGCTCTGCCAGCACTATATCTACTAGAAGGCAGGTTTCAGATGATGGTATTGCATGTCTACGACTTCAGCCGTGAGCAAGTCAAACATTTAGATAGAAATCGTCGAAATGCGTCTCTTCCAGAAGGTATCGAATACTTTTAACGGATACAACATAAAATAAGTTCAGGACCACTATGTAATGAATTTTGTGATAATATTGTACTAGTAAAGTAGTAAAACGGTGATTCTTTGGTATAAGAGTTTGATGTTTATGATTGATCTAAGTTTGAGTTTGTTAATCGTCCTCCTACTCTAATAATTCCATTTTCATAAAGGAAAATATTCATTGGAATCACTTTGCGGTTTGGGGACAAGAGCAGTCCCTTTTTTAAATAGTTGTACTCAAGCTTGAATTCTGATTTTTGAATGAGCTCTACTTTAGATTTAATGCTTCTTCATGTTCTCCATGTGATAATACACCTTTGATTCTTTTACTATGAGCTTGTGTTTTACAATTTCTGGTGAATCGTATACGCCATGAGATTATTCTAATGCATTTTGACAATAATGAGTATTTCGAAATTATTTCTAACATATCAGTAACTTCAGGTGTACCTGAAATGGTGATGTTGACTGACAGAAACGATATCTTTTCGTCGGATCTGATATCAGCCGTGCATTCTTCCTGTGGATGTCTACACAGAGGGAGAATATTGTTACGGATTTTGTATTGACTTAACAATTCTTACTAGAATTGTAACTAAAATTGTTTTATTTTCTCGTGCAATGCAACGCGTGACAAGTTTTAAGAGAAAGCTACGCCGAAAAAGTAAAAATACAGGAGCACGCGCATTTAATAAATACATATCTCGTAATTTATATTTAAACTGAAAAAATGTAATTGACTACACTGTGTTAGCTGTGACAGTAATTCTTCTCTTTTGCTTTCGAGAAAACAGAAATTACCAGAATATTCTCGTGACTGATTAAAAAGCTTTAAAAAGACGGAGAGAAATATCTCAGTTCACTTGTTTACTAAGTTGTTATTATGGACTGTAGCGAATTCGCAGTGAGATCGGATTAGCTTTCTCTGTGCTTTGTATTGCGTTCAATTTAACGTTTTAGTAGTTTAAAATATAACTACTGTGTGATATTGTACCAATATCTTTGAGGTAAAACCCAGCGTTTTGTTACATTTCTTGTGATAAGAATAAATTTTACTAATTTTTTTTTATCGGACTTGTGCATTCAATCTGTTACGAACCCGTACGCAAGCAACAATATTATGCTGATAGAAGCATAGAAGGGCATATCACCAAAAAGTGTGACGTTTCAGTTTTGCTGTGGAAATATCTCTGCAGGCACAATATGCTGGATTTTCTTGAGTTTCACGTAATTTTATGAAGCTTCTTAAGTGGAGTCCTGAATTTCTGATATCCTATTAGCAACAAAACTTTTCCATCTTTGAGGAGATAACTAAGCCAATCTAAAATTATTTTTGAGTCCAAGTATAGAACAGTCTGATCAATGCGAATATTCTTCCTTAAGGATGTTGAAACAACTGTGTAGAGTTTAGATACAAAAAGAGCTGCACATAAATCAAATCTTGTTAATGTTATTGTCTTCGCCGGAGCAACTTTTGTTTTTGAAATAATCAACGAAACGTGGAATGTCCCATTTTCTAATTCTGATCTTAGATAAAACATTGCAGGATATGCATGTTCGGACACGTTGAAAAAGTCAAATAACTGACAGCCGTTTCTGAATATATCTTCCTTGTTAATTTTGCAGGACTAATTTCGATGGTTTAATTGCAAAACCATCGTCCTCAGCTGCCTAAGTGCAAATGAGCGAGATAAGATATTGTGATGAGGTAAGATAAGATACGAATGGCTGGACTAGTTAAGAAGTTAAGCTACTGTCGTCATTTATTGATGAAACAAGAAAACTAAATTTCCTTAAAGGCTGAAGGTAAAGATGGATTGGAATTAAGGTCTTTAACTAGAGCGGAAAGGTTTTTTTTTGAATATGAAACACCTCTAGAAAATGTAATTCACCATATGAAGATGTTTTTTGAATAAAAGTGCGATTTTTCGGACCACGAGTGCTGGCAACATAGGACAGAAGTCCTAAGCCAGCATTTTAACATATGCTTTATGTTCTTTAACGCGAAATTTTAAAGCTCTAAGCTTGGCCAATGTAAATTAAGCCACACTGCAAGGAATGCTGTAAATACCACAGGAATTCGTATTCGGAATTGGGTCCTTTATAAAGACCTGATTTTGTACTAATCGATTATTTTTATCTTAAAAAACTCTATCTACCCTTCTGATTTCAATTCCCTGCCAGAATGCAAATTTAAATGACGTATATGCAAATTCTAAGTGAGTTCGAAAATAGTATTTAATTGACAGAGTATAAGAGTTCGGAATAGAAGAATGAGTTACTCCGAGAATAAGTTTATGCCGTGTGTTTGCCAAGTAGCTCTGTAGATGAAAATTTGTGCTAGCTACTTACATTATATTCATAATTTAGATTCGGTTCTGTTGTGTGCAGCCGATAAAGTAGTAGGAGCCAGTCATATAGTTGAAGTAGGAGCCAGTCATATAGTTAAAATTTAATTCATTCTGAATTTACATACTATTTATTCTGTGTTTAAGTTACTTAGCCACAAATGGTGTTTAGTTGTGAGCATCGAGTGTGTGCATGTTCTATTCAGTTTAGTTAAAATAAAAAGGTTGTTATAAACTTCGGTGGCAATCATCTGTTTTTCAAGGCATAGTGAAAATTCGCTATTTCGTCTTCAGTAGTATCTACATTTTATGCTTCCCAAAAGAACACGACTTTGCATCTTAAGTATGGAACTGGGAATTTTATTGATCCAAAAATTAAATTTCTGTAAAGTACGTGCAGTTTTATAGCTAATTGATCGAAAGAAAGGAATGACAATCGTATAATCTCCATTTGACATTCAAGAACATCTTTCTGTTCTAGTTAATGACCCTAATTCCAATCCATCTTTACCGTCAGCCTTTAAAGAAATTATGTTTAAGTTTTCTTGTTTCATCAATAAGATGGTGCCAGTTGGTTAAGTTGTGTCCAGCTATTCTTATCTTATTACGATATCTTATCTCATTCATGTACACTTAGGCAGCTGAGGAAGATTGTTCTGTAGTTAAACCATCGAAACTAGTCGAGTCCTGCAAAATTTACAAATATTACGCTGTATATTTTTATTTTACTTCTCCAATAATCAATATTCGACGAGTTATTTGTTATTAGTTAGGTTAACTAAACCTACTTTATTTACTAATGTGTCTATTCTTTGCTAAACAAAGCATGTTATATCTCATTACTTTCACGGAGAAACTCGTGCGGAGAGTGAAGGAAGATATTTCTCGTTTAAAGCTGCTGTTAGCCTTGCTAAGCCGTTTCTAAGGAGATTTATTAAAGTCTTGTTCTTTGTGCATTAATTACTTCATTGTACACAATCAAAATATAGCGTACACATTGAAAAAGACATTTTAGTCGCTCATATTTGTAGACTGAATTTATGCACGAAAGCTATTATGTGAAAAATTTTAAGACATTTACTGTTTCATTAAAAACGTTTTAAGTTACTGCATCTGACGATAATGATTCAATCATCAAAATCCCCGTCATATTACTGCCATTCATAGATACTGATTTTATTTCTTAATGAACACTGATTGAACTCCTTTTTAATTGAAGTATTTTCCCACAGAACTTTCCTACACAATTAGTGGTGAAAATTTGGTTAGCAATAAACTTTGAGCTGATACATATAATGGATTATACGAAGATGAAAAATTATGGACAGAAATCATTGTTAAAATGTATTTTCAAGTAATGTATAGTGCTGAAGCATAGCTGAACTATAAAAATAAATAAAACCCGAGAGAAAAATTTCATATTACGCTCACGTAATTATCTATCTTCCTTACCAAACGACTACGAATGAACAGGTCATATCTGTGTATAGAATATCCTCTCGTAGATTTAGAATTTTATAAGGTAATCTCTTACTTACCAATAGCTAAAAGAGCATGTCTGATGTTTCCACCGAATTCGGATTTGATAGCTTCTTCCATGAGATGCCCAGCTATTCTTTCGTACGCTGCTATTGTGGCTCGTAGTTGATTTTTGCTTCGAGTAGCAAGAATATTTATGAACAGATCTTCATCACTACCCCAGCTTTTCGATAAACCAGCCTTTAAAATAAAAAATGGAACATCACAAATTAATATACAAATCATGAAAATATATTATCATTCGTAACATTTTCAATTCTTGACAAATTTCTAACTGGCATTTCTGAAATGTTACTTTTTAACTCAGTGAAATATTCTGTTACCAGAAATGAATATTTCTTCCTATAAATGCCTAATTTTGATGAAAAAAAGCGACAAGGCATTTATCTACCAACACTTAAATTTTGCAAACAAAGTTTCACACAGCTATCTTCATTTTTCACTTTCTTCCTACTGAAGAAACATTTATGTTTTTTTAAAGGAAATGTATTATTCACTTTGATGAATTAGATAACGTCTAATGGTTACACAAAAGTATAATTGAGATGCTAAGTATGAAGACTGAGACATTTCTCATTTCCTTAGGTATATGTGACGTACAAATATTTTACATATATACACTTTGTGTTTCTCATGTGCGTCATTTCTTAATTAATGATTTTCATACGTTACTTATATAATGCTGTTGACACACGTATTTACATAACAGTGAAACTTAAAAATTAAATCTTCTGTCCGATAGAATTCAAATCATAACTTTAAATAGCTATTAATATAATACAATAATAGCACCCCCTGAAGGAAAAAAAATCCTATAACCGCTGAATTTACCATCTGTTACTTGAAGATACACCTCTTCTTTAAAGAATTTTTGAAAACTAGACTAAAATTTTGACTCGTTAACACTTTGCACCGGTTCAGTTGTATATGGTTTGTTAACTATGCTATGTTTAAATTTAAAAAAAAAAAAAAAGGATTGACCGGCAGCTTTCTCTTAACTGGAAAATTCTCCAGCGAAGAAATTTTTGATTGTTATACATATTCTTCTTCAAACAGTATTTTCATGATATATTTGTATACATCTAGTAGACATACAGAAAATCTGACATCGTAGAACTGTATAAAATAATAGATGAATCTTACTTTGTTATATAAAAAAAAATTAGGAAAAGTTTTAAAAAACATCAGAATTACCAGTTTCTCTGATCGTAAGAGAAAATATTCCTGATTAGTAAATGATTCAAAGAAAATTAAACATAGGTATCTTGAGCATTATACTACTATATTACTCGATTCTACTGAGATATATTGTTCTTATTTTGCATTAAAGGTTCTCATTGTTTTGATAACCTAATTCTTGAAAGAATCTTCTTTCCATATTTAAACCTTCAAACAAATTTTTAATTTCTGGCTACGCCAAATGACTGAAGATGTAGCAAAGTATCAATGACATTATTACTATTTGAATGTGAAACAAGCAGTACATTTAAACAGCAAACATGCGCTTTTAGATATATACTATCATATTATTCCTAAATTGTCATGAAAAGAACTGATTGCTTGAATCTTTGTTTAAAATGAGAACATTTAAAAATTGTTGAAAATTAATTCATGTGGAAGAAGTTATCTATTTAGCAACTGATTTATAAAAAAGATCATAAATGAAATAGTAATAAAATTATAAACATAAGGAAAGTAATACAGCAATAAGTCCCCTTTCCCCAAATGACTTGCTTAGCTATGATTCAATGTTAGAACAAAATTACAAACATGAATTAAAATAGAATTACAAATATTGAATCGGTTCAGACAGAATTTCATTTTACCGCCGTTAATTTAGCTTTTTTTATTTTTTCGATCTTTCTTATGTCCTTTTCATTTCTCTTTCTCATTTCAGAAATGTGCAAACGAAAGGAATAAGTATTTGAGCTCTAAAGAGGGTGTCAAAGTAGAATTGACTTCATTAGATTGTGAGTAGACTAGACATTAGCATCTCAAACGCATTTGCCTGTCAACATTGATTCTAGTTATTTTCCCCCATATGAAATCTAATTTCTTGTAAATGAGTCTTTTAAGGAATTCAATAATTTGCTTTAACTAGATATAATAATGAGAATCTGACAGGTGTTCCTTATAGCTTCAAGTAATATAGTTAAATTCTATGCATTATTTGAATGCAGTTAGGTAAAACTCTTGTGTTATGTTGTCAGTTCTGCCAGCTGCAATCATCTGTCTGTTACTATGTTAGCTATAAACAAAAATCGTCGTAATAAATTTTATATTATTTGATTTTAAAATAAAACAGTCTAAAAAGTGTGTGCTTATCTAGAATTTTATTTATTTAGTATATGTATATTTATTTTTCATTTAGAGCTTAAGATTTATCAGATTCAAAATATGTCACTAGAGAACGTAACATAAGATTAAGAACTAGAGAAACTATCTAGAAAGGAAGCTATACGATCAAACAACTTGCATTAAAAACTTAAAATTTTGATTTCTGAAGAATAAGTTAATTAATTCTTTTGCCTTCTCGATTTCCTGAAATGTAAAACTACATGCAAAACTCCTTCCCGAGTAACTGTCTGAGTAAATATATCTCACAAAAGGACCTAACTCCTCGGATATTATGGTGAAATGCATATATTCGTTAAGGGAGAGGAAAATAAATTGAAATAATCATCTACTTGCATCGTATAGGTGGTGAGCATCGACGACTGCTGATTGTTCGTCGACTTCAACGTAGTGTTCACGATCACGTGATGTCAAAGTCGAAATTAGCTTTCTCATATCGCCTCTTAAACCACTGCAGAGGAACTCTCCCAAATCATCGTCATATTCTACGCAAACAATATAAAAATTTTAACACAATTCTTATTGAATTTATTCAGTTGAATTTTTTTTATTGAAAACTTCTTAAGTATAATGCACTTACTTTCCCTGAAGACAGATTTAACATATTTAAGCTCCTGGAAAAATAATATCAGACGACTTAATTTTAAAATGAACATAAAATTATTAAATGTAATCATATTTTTTAATTTTACCTATAAAACCTTAATATACGATATGCAGCTTGTTCTTCCCATGAAGAAATATATGTGCATTAACAAACATTTAGTGCAGCTGCACTTGAACCTATTTAACTAATATTCAAAAAGTGCTATAGGCAACACAAGCATTCTACTTACTAAAGTTTTAATATAAAAAGAAATTAAATGTTTTGTACGGATCATTAACATTTTTCTTAATTCTCTTAATTATTTGACAAACAAGCTAGGCCAAAAAATAAAATGCAAAGTTGTTTTACCATATATTCCAATGAAACGAGAATTTCAATTATGCAGTTTTCATCCGTCTTAAGACCCTGAAAAATTCAGTAATATAAATGTTTTTGTAAAATGTATGCTGGTAAAATGCTCTGAACTTATATAATCAGAAAAAAAAGTCTAAGCTTAATACACAACCTACTTTAATATTTGTGCCTATTTGGAACCACCACGACGTGAACTTTAGATACAATTCCTCTAAACTATACAAATGAAAATTTATGCAGTTCTTCTGAGCAGAGCAAAGTTTCTACGGATTGCATCTGCTTATTCACTGTGTGAAGATTTTGTATGCGAACATTACTTTAGAAGATTTAGTAGCAAAAGTTTACAGTTTTTCTGTGTATTATTTACGTTTTCCCATCAATATTTTTTGGCAACTGTTAGCTTTACCAGATATCTTGTGTTTTATGACATTCAGGTCATTTCCGATAAATAAGTAAGTAGTATATTCTTGGGTTTTTATAGTGTAACTGATGATGGCATAATAAACAGAGAATTTTAGATTGCGCATGCTTTTAAAAATAAAACCTCTTAGATTTGTCCTTTTAGTACTTTTCTATTTAGCAAATATTTGATGACATAAGGAATTAAGAAGTTTAAATTACATTTTAGAATTAATAACTGGTTAAAGTTGCCTTTTATCTCTCAAGTTACTTGCGAAAGAAATGTTTCAGAGCATTTTGAGAAAGCAATGACATGGTTATTTTTTCTGGCAAAATTTCAAATGAATACACACACTTTGCAACAGTTTTATTTATAATATAATTTATGGTTACGTGGTATACGGTTTTCTTGAGCCTTTTAAAACGGATTTGTTCCCTTTAAAAACTGGGACAATTTTTTCAAACCGGGATTTCCGATATTAGTATGGAAAGTAATTGAAAATCATTATTTTAAATCTTTATTAATCAATTACCAGTTATCGGCATATATCTCCGAAATAGCTATTTCTTTATAGTGAAAAATTGAAAGACGAAGAAATAAATTGAAGAAAAATTCATTTGTGGTGCTCTCTGCCAAAATTCAAATTCGAGTATTAAAAGCATAAAAAAGTGGTTAAAATACTGAGTTAATTTATAAATAAATAACCAATAACCATCTAGAAACCTAAAGAAGAGGTGTAGCGCCTAAAATTGAAGTAAATGAAAATAAAACAGAAGCGGAAAAAGTTATAAACTCATTTTTTTAAAAATTTTTAAATGAATTTTTCTATTGTTCACTGAAAAAAAATTGTACGGTCCATTTTAATTAACTATTTTTTCTGTGTTTTGCACTGCTTGTTTTCTTTTGTATTAGGGATCTATTAAAAGGAATTGAAATATTCAAAATGTTTTTCATATTAAAATCAATTTTTGCTGCATCTGCACAAAATTAAAGCATTTATTATATATATATATATAAGCAAATTAAGGCATTTCTTAAATATATATATATAGGTAGGCCTTCTACAACGCGGTACCTTTACCCCGCGTTTTCGCTCCAACGCGATATTTTCAAGGAACGTATCTACCGCGTTGTAAGAAAACTTTTGTAAGAAGCCTACCTGTATATACATATCTATATGTATATATGCACTAAATGAATTTAATATCATACAACATTATATATATATATATATGCTTTCCGTAGTCCAATACGCCTTAAAACATCGCCCTCCAGTGGCGCGGCAACTTATCGCAGTTGTGGACACAATTTCCTTAGGAAATCTTCATCATGGTCTAACACACCAGCACGTTAAAGTTTGTAAACAACATTTTAGGATACCCTATATAACAAACTATTAGAAAATTAAAACGTCATCACGTAGTGGGGAAAATACTAGTAGGGGATCTTGGTGATAATAACATACCACTATTCTTCTACCATAATTAAAGAATTCAGCACAAGAGATTATATCTGCAAAAGTCTTTTTTGAAAATCCTTTCCTATTTTGTGAGATATACCAACAAAGTTCCTTCTCAATTTTTTTTTTTTTTATCATGTAAGGTATTTTCTCCCTCCTTTCCGCATGCCTTCGTGTAACTGGAAGCACGCTCAACGAAAAGTAACTTGATGCACGCTCGGCGAATGTTCGGGATACCCGGTGTTCAAACCCCGGCGAAGCACTGTAGATTTCTTCAGTTTCCTAACATCGAAAACATTCTGATGACCCTACAACCTTCTTCATTATAAGTAGATTACACTGAATCTTGTTGAGAAAATTACTCTGGTAACAATGTCTTGCATTTGACTTCATAGGAATTGAAATGATGAAATGCTAGCATTAAATATTTAAAAATGATTAAAATGGAAATCGGATCTAACCTTAACAGCAAAATACAGGCAATCCACAATGTATTCTACAAGGGGGCACAACAGAGCTAAGCAAACGTCTTCAAAATGCCCTCCTAGCTCAGCTTTGATGTCATCGGTCAGAATCTGAAACATATCGTATTTTAAGAGCAATTATTTCAGAATAAGTATTGCATACATATCACTTATATACTGTAAACTGTATAGATCTGGACGTTTTAGTTTATAAAATACAATATTTTTCTTTTTCATTTATGAATATTACATAGTTAATGAAACATACAGAATAACATGTGAATATTGTATTTGTGCTCAAATCTGTAGGTGAAATAATGGAGAAACTTTTATAAAAGAAAATATTTCATAAATATTTCGACGAAAATTTTGTAAGGGAAATTAGTTCAAGTAAAAATTTTAAGGCTTACCCTGCCGTAAATTGTTTTGTATTTTTTCTTTATGATTTGCCTTTGAACATTATTATGGCCAGTTAGAATGTCAATTATCACCTTTTCATCTGTACCTAATAGAAAAGACTTGAAACATAAGGAAAAATAGCAGAAATTTATGCATCATTTATAAATAAAATGTACTGGGATTATTTATTGATGTTAACTTAAATTCTGAAAGAAAAAAAAAAAAAAAAAAAAAAAAAAAAAAACCACCATGTTTTACGTAAGAAGGATGTGTGATTAAGAAAAGAATGTAAATTGAACAAAAGCATTTTGTTGCCTTGGGGTTAAAGTGTTTCATTGAATTTTCTAAAATGTTGCAAAAAATTCTGATTCATTTTTGCTATATCATAGTTCTGCTGGTATATTATTTTGTTAAGTTGAAATATACAAGGTGTGACACAAAAACAACGAGACTGGTCCAATAAATCATTGTACTTACAGAATCAGTTCTCCGTGACATTATCACCTTCAAAGCAGTTCCCTTCAGCATTCACACACTTCTGAATTCGGTACTGCCATTGCTGGTAACAGTTCTGGAACGAGGTTTTTGGAAGGCCCCTCAGGAGATTTTCCTTTTTGCCTGAACCTTTTCAGCTGAGGTAAAACGGGTTCCCTTTAAGTACGATTTAACTTTAGGAAATAAAAAAAGTCGCATGTAACCCAATCAGGTGAATAAGGAGGGTGCTCCATCACATTAATGTTTTTGCTGGTCAGAAACTGTTTGACAGATAGGGCCGTGTGAGCAGGTGCACTGTCCTGGTGCAACAGCCATCCATCACTCCACAACTGTGGTCTTTTTTCCTCTAATTTTTCACAAACTCTTTTTAGTGCTTCAGTGTAGTAGTGTTGATTAACTGTCTGACCACTGGGAACCCATTCAATCATTATGAACATGCTGGGCGCCCCCAAGCCTCGGTTAACATTTGAAATGTTTCCTCCGTGGCTGATTTCTTAAGTTTCACAAGAAACTTGATATTGATTCGCCGTTTTTACATTAGACATTTTTCCGGCAGAATGCATTTGCACGTGTTCACTCAATGACGCAGTACTTCCTACTGGCGTGGTCGGTTAAGTGGAAACTGGCCGCATGGATAGAGGAGGTGTGTGGCATGACGTCACCAAAACAGTTGTTGCCAACTCCACTCTCTTTTCAAGCTACACACTTAGTCTTTTTTTTTTTTTTTTTTTTTTTGTTTTGTGTGTGTGTGTGTGTGTGTGTGTGTGTGTCACACCTCGTATATGTAATAATTTGGAAATGGGGTGATGAGAGAATTAATTACGTCTCAGTCGTGATGGCGAAACTGTTGCATAGATGGAATGACGGACATTTTGGAAAGATTACAAATAGCTGAATGATCACAATATAAATTTATTTTCGTGAATATTCTTGCGGTCCACATCATTCTTGGATGCCTGATGCACCTCCATGATTTTTTTATACACATCTTACATCTTAAATAATGGGGAATACAGCAAAGCGAAGAGACGTTACTTATGAAGCAAGTGCAAATAGAAAAAAAGAATGCCTATATGATTGGCTGGAGTATTTTTAAGCTTGGTTCCTTTTCAATTCTGAATGATGATTCGGCAAGAGCTTTCGCACTGCGGCTGTATGGAAAGAATGATGCCAGTGACGCAGTTTAGACGTTATGAAGGGTTGGATTTTTAATTAAAATTACGAATTTAAAGGGCTATTGCCAATTAAGTTAGTAATTTTGTTCCAATTAAGCTAATAGTTTGTTAATAATATTCCTTCATATTTTTATATCTTACATACTTAAAAAAACTCTATATAGTTGAAATATATGAAAAAATACGAAAAACTTCTTTATTTTTAAAATTAGATGAAATAAAAAGCGACAGAAGTAAGCAACTATATTTCTTTTCTGATATTAAGCAAAATAAACCGAGAATGTCGAGAAATTTCAGCATTTGCTCAATGATTTCTAGACTTTTTAAGTTTAAACGACTGTACTGTTTCCCATGCGTTATATAAAACTTTTTAATTATTAAAGGTATTCTTGCATTCATCTGGATTAATAATAGTAGTTCCAATGCGAAGTTTTAACTAATTAATCTAGGATAAATAAAAATGTGAGATGAGAAAATAAAGCACCGCCTTCTTCTGTGGATACGGATTATACAGGGTGGTCATTAAAAAAAACTTCTCGATATATGAACTCTAGCAGCCTATCCGCTCAATTGATCGAAATGAAATTTCAGATATTGGTTATTTGAAGGTATGCGCTCGAAATTGTGATGATTTAAAACAAAAGAGCTCCCACGGTTATTGGGACAGTGAAAAAATTTCGAAACTTTGAATGATAACATTCACTTTTTTGCTTGCAAACTAATCAGAGCATTGAAAAACCATAAAAGGGGCTGGAACGATAAACGTATAATGAAAATTCTCGGCGTAAAACATTGGAAAAGAATTGTAAAGGACCAATGACAACACAAGAGAGAAGAAGGGAAATTTGGGGGGGGAGGAATTACAAGCTTTCAATATGCCCAACTTCGCAGATGATAACACATTGCTTGAGGGAGATTGTTGACGGCAAAGACGAACATAAGAATATATATAACTTCACGGTTTTATGTCAACTTTCAGTTCTGACAAATCTCATGGATTTGGTTTTTGCACCCTAAATTTCGGATAACTCCGGAACCGGAAATCCATTGGAGTGTTTTCGGGGTATCATGATGGCCATGAAACTGCAAAATTACCGAGACGACTTTATCTCCAAAGCGTTGTTGCAGCACTTGCCGAGCACACGCGTCGACTTGTGGAGGAGCACCATCTTGCATTCAAACAATGTCATTAACTACATTTCACTGCTGTAATTCTGGAATTACGTAATTCTGCAACATTGTTGTATTACCCAGCACTTGTGATAGAACACGTTTCCATACCCATGAAAATGGCCTTTTTGAAGAAACACGGACCGAAAACGAATGTGCTTGCGAATGTGTCGGAACGTCTCCAGGTTGCAACATCCGAACGCTCTGGGATCGATAAGGAAACATACCGAGAACACAGCGTAGAAGCTTGAGGACTGTGATTTTGGGAATATCCAAGCTGCCGGCAACACTTTTTTAGATGCAAGGGACCTGCAGAAATCGTGTTAAGTATTTCCGCAATAACTTCAGCAGGAACAAACACATCGTTATCCGGACCGCGGTCTATCACATGTTAATCCAGTTTCTTCAATTTTTTTTAAAATCCAAATCAAGTACAGTTTTCACGGAAGAGGGCCTCGTCTTAGTTTATGATTTCGCCGACAGACTCGCACTGCGTCGGCAGTATTTTCCCCGTTCAGATAAAACAGCTTTATCAATTGACCTCATTGTGTCCCTATCCGTATCATCTTGCTAGCACGTTCGAACATCTGATTAAAGAAACAGGCATCCCTCACTGCTTATTAAAGGTTTTCCACAAGCGATGCTTTCCATGTGATGTTCTGTGATTGGAGTTTCGACTGTCAATCCCTTTGAATTATGCAAAGTGGGTCAATGCACCTCCTTTCTGTGTTGTCAATAGTCCTTTACAATTCTTGTTCTTTGCGTATGTTTTATGCAGGCAATTTTTGTCATACGTGTATCGTTTCGATGCCATTTATGGTTTTTCAACGCACTGATCAATTTGCATAGGAAAAACGTGGGTGCTGCCATTCAAAAATTTAAGGCTTTCTCCTTTGTCATTTTAACCATGAGAGCTCTTTTATTTTAAATCCATCATTACAAACTCAAGAGCATACCTTCAAATAACATTATTTGAAATTTCATTTCGATTGGCTGAGAGCACAGTCCGCTGCGTGCTCATATATCGGGGAAGTTTTTTAAGAATATCCTCATATGATATTTCTACAAAGGTCAATCTAGCTTTACAATATTTAATATTTCTTTTATTCATACATTTTTCGTGCAACTGAACTTACCAATACCACGCATAGCTTTCCTTAATCGCGCTGCCACTTTTTCTGCGTTGAAATCAGCTGTCGGTCCTATAGTTCCCTGAAAATTTAATGCATAATTTAGTATTAATATAATTCAAATTTTATTCTGTTCAGATGTAGAGATATTAGACATTTTTATTTCGGAACAGTGGACAAAAATATGCAATGCCCTCGCCGGGATTCGAACTCCGGGCCTTCCGACTGCTAGCCGGATATGCTTCCAATTACATCACGAAGACGTGAGGGAAGCAGGGAAAAAATGCCTTACACAGATCTTCTACTCTTTTACTTTAAAAACGAATAATAGGTACATGTTTTCAATTTATGAGACATTTCATTATTTTATTTTTTATTCAAAGTACCGGGCAAAGATTCGGTTACGATTGTGGATGAGATTATGTTAACAGTTAAAATTTCAGAAATAATATTACAGCTGGACTATACTTATGAAGAATTTTTTCTATAAAAATACAAACTGAAATAGAAAATCTAAAACTGCTGGTATGAAAATATTTTTAGTTTTCTGTATAATCATCATCATTATTTTTATAAAGTGCTAAAAGGCTAAAAAAATAAGAACGATTTCTCGTTTTTCTAAAACCTGGGTAAATAATGAATGAATAAATAAAAGTATAATGAAGAATATGTATGAACGAATGAAAAATAATATTCTGTTTTGTTACCTTAATTCATCTGATAAATACAAAATTAAATCCAGTTCAGAGTTAAGCATACTGTCAAAAAGGATTTGAAATGATGCCTCGAAAGTAAGGGGCATCATTTGCACAGGCGATGAGAATTATGAATAAATCTCACAGGAGTTTAAATTAAGTGTTTTTATAGTTGCTTTCTACGGGTTCGTGGATTTGCAGTGATTGACGAAAACAGTTGATGAAGAATAAAAACACAGTTTGTTAGCCAGTGTTACTCAGAATAGTTCCAAAAACGCGTTACAGTTGTCGAAAAACTACGACAAACTCGCTAAAACAATCCACAACACAGCCTTCAGGTTATCAGGCTATAACGGTGAAGACAGCTTCACGGCAAATCACTAAACTCCAGCTCTCGACTCAGTTCGATCGCTCTCAAGTACTGAACGAGCTCTCAAGCTCTGAACTCAAAGTACTATTAATGAACTTAACATACTCCCCAAGATACTCTTTTACTTCTCATACGAGGAAGGTATATATAGCTTTTGACCTGACTTAGAAAACATTCTCGGGGAAACCAGTAAGAATTCGTTGTAGAATGTTCTCGTTCCGTCAGTGGCATATCGCGAATTTTGTTATAAAGTGAATGATTTTGCTCCAAATCTGGCAATCCTGTCTTTCCTTGGCACTTTTTGGCAAACCTTAACCCGGTTTGCGGTGAAGCTATCTTACCCCAGCTGGGCATTTCGTAACATTGCCACCTCCCAAGCACTCTAGTTTTATTGCCATTGCAAGTCCCGGGCAGTACAATCCTTGGTCAGAAGCCAAATTCGATACAAATAAAAGAAACAAATAAGATAAATAAAGCAACAAATATTTACACTATTTACAAGCTATATACACAAATTAACCACATAAAAATTTTTAATTTTATAAATTAAAGTTCAGGATGAATTTCAGTCTCAGGCTTTTCATTAAGTTATACCCGGGTTAATTACTTTTTCACTGCAATTCTCATATGTATTTCTGTTTTGCATATCACAGTCTGAAGATTCAGACCTTTCAGATTTTTCATCCACAAGAAGATCTGAAACAGTTTACTCACCACTCTGTAATTTATTCACATCATGTGTACAGTTCACCACGGTAGTTCTAGCAATTGGTATATGCTTATTTTCCTCTATTTCCTAGAAATCAGTTCCAAATTTTGCATTAAAGTTATGAATAGAATCCGATTCTTTACCAACAGTAGTAGCCTGGTTTCGAATCAAGTTTGTGTTCGTACAACTTGTATTATGAGGCACACACTTAGATAAACGTATATAAAATTTTCAAAGATTATGTACCAAGACTGTCAGATCTCTAGTTCTGAAACTTTCTTCTCAGACGGCAAAGCTGACGCTTCTGACAGCGGGCATATACCAGAACAAGATGTAAAAGTATTTAATTATAATTAGAAAAAAACTGGTAGCTTATCATAGTTTAAAAGAGGAATTTTATTGCGATGATAATATATGCATATGTTAAAATGGAGACATTAAACTTGAGTATTTTTATTTAATAAATTTAAAAGAAAATGTAACACTGTTTTAACTCAAGAAGCAGAGGATATCCTTTAAAATTTATAGACACAACCATATATGAAAGGATAAATAATTATTTATTTTCATAAAAAAGTTTGTGATTATTTTAATATGGCAAACGAAATAAATATGATTAAAAAAAACGAAAAATAAATATTAAAAAAAAAATCCGGAATAATTTCTTACGACAAATCCATTCTCGACTTCATTATTAAACGCCTGGTCGTTTGATTAAATATTATAAATTTTCAGACGCCCTAAAACAGAGCCTTAATAAACTTGACGAAAACTGTTTACGAAAGAATGAATAATAATTTATAAACAGGTGGTTATTATAATACCTAAGCAAGATTAATGCGACTTAAAAAAAACCTAAAACAGAGCTTAAAAAACCTAAAACCCTAACTTAAGAAACCTAAAACCTAAAACGACCCTAAAACAGAGCCTTAATAAACTTGACGAAAACTGTTTACGAAAGAATGAGTAATAATTTATAAAGAAGTGCTTATTATAATATCCTACAAGGTACAAGGCACAAGGGGGCGGTGCAGCGGTGATTCACCGCCCCTTTACATAATCTGAAATTTCCCTTCAAAAAAGAAGTCGTAATAAATGGATGCTGCAAAATATGTTGTCGTTGTAAAGTTGAAAAATCCTTAAATGAATTTTATACTCAGCTCGGTTTGGAAAATTTGAATATCGAAGCGTTTGTAAATTTTGAAAATCAGAAATTAATAATGCAAAATACAGTTGTGAATGTGGTAAACAATGTTCTTTTGCCCAGGAAAAAAAAGTCATTTAAAGAGTAATTTTCATATCAAACGAATCTTAGAGAGGTTACGAAATGTCCCCACTTTCAAAATCTTAATTTATGATATAAATCTAAAATTAGAAGCATCAGCTTCGCTATCTAATAGAAATATAGTGTTCAAAGGGGTATCCATAAGCCCCCATTTTCAACATGTAAAGTTTTCAACAAAAACCTGTGATTTTGATCCACGCCAGATCTAGTGGGACCATTTTACAACTATTTCATCCTAATATATATTTATAATCTTTTTATTAGTTTTTAACTCGGTCGTATTTTCCAAGCGTATTTTTACCGTTCATTATTTTTAATTTTATTCTATTATATATTTATAATTTTTTATTAGTTTATGCTCATAATTTTATACTTTCTATTTCAAAATACTAGTTCATAATTTTTAGCCGAAAGGCCATAGCCTTAAAAATTCAGTAAAATTAACTTTTTTCAAAAGATAAAACGCTTTGCAATCTTCATCACGCATTTTTTTTAATGTGTAAATTCTAATATATTTGGAGTTAGCTTGTCTAGTTTTCTTATATCCCTCGTTTCGGACGGTTAGATTTTAATGGTCTTTGAAAATTTATATTATGGTCGAAACCTCGGACCATCTAAAAAAAACATTTTATGTTATTTCCTTTTGAAAGACTTAACCCTTTTGCATTAGTCATTTTTAGGCGATAGCCTTTCGGCTACTTAAAGACTAAATAAGTAAAAAAAATAGTTCCAATATCTTTCGTTTTTTAATAAAAATTTAACCTTTTAATTAGTTATTTTCAAAGCTTTCCGTTAATTATATAAATTAACAATAGTTCCAACTGTTTGGAAATTTGCATTCCTCCTTTGCGGCTGCGCTGAGCCGAAAAACATAAAAGTGTGTAGAGGCAATAGGTATTTTTTGAAAGCAGGAGACATGAAAAATGAGGAATGCCCTCGCCAGGACTCGAGCCACGAACCTCTCGAATACGCGCCGAGCGTGTTGACCATTACAAATAAAGGCATGCTAAGAAAGCGGAAGAAATAAATTATAAGTGTATAATCTCGCAGTAGAGTCCAAGAAATGTGGGTGAAGACTGTGTGTCCTCCCGCTATGCCTCATTGGCGTGGCCAATAGCCGTAAATCATTCCAGCGTGGTGTGAGGATTTTAAGGCTTGGAAAGCAGTAGTGGAATATAACTGTGGAAGACTATATTGTAACAGGAATCTAGCACAGTATCCCAGATTATTTACTACGACGTCAAATACCTGTCTAACTAAATGAACTGTCAAGTAGTTTCAACTCATGTTTAAAAAGTCAACTACATTTATCTGTAATTCATCATATGGTTTTACTAATGTGTCATAGGATATATGTTCATCTGGTTTGTTAAACTTAGGGAAAGCAATCATTAAATCTTATATTTTCAATTTAGAGCAAATGTACATGCTCATTTCGTAAGGAAACAGTTTTTCACTGCTGCGTATAAATTTCAAGAACTTCAAAAATCAAAACAATAGGTTATGGGGCCTGGTACACAGATCTCGGTTTACCAAGTCTCCCAAATTTTCCAGATGCCCAAGAAATCCAACGTATCTGAGACGTAAATTGAATATCTGTGTTTTCTGGTGAAAAACAAGGTAAGCAAATTTACTCTTTCTTCTTTCCTGGCTTCACTGAAAGGTCATGTACATGATAAAATTGATGAGCTCGAATATTCAAATTGAGAAATTGAATAACAGTAACTTTGAAATATGGCGGTTTCAAATAAAAATGTTCCATCCTGCGTTCCTACCTTTCCTTTAAGAGTTCGCCCTGTCATTGAGGAACATTCCCTCTCTGATATGCGCCCCCAAGCAGTAAAGAATTTCGAAATTCCACCTTGGGAAAATTCACAGATCCAGCTTCTTGATGTTTTCAAACATCACGTGAAGGCAAGCACTAACGAGATCGTTTACAGACAACTCTTCGCTGAACACAGGCACAAATATAGCAGTTATTATCCGATATATACAGATGGATCCAAGTCAAATGATCATGTTGGGATGGCG